CGCTAAGCGGGGCCGAACCGAGCACTACATAAACTGCGATTATTGTTTTTTTTATCGGCAACAATAAAATGTTGATGAGAAGTCAAGTGACTTCGCATTTATAACCAAAAGGTGGCAAGTTATTGCGTATTTGAATTTCGATTTTTTATTCGTGCTGTTTCATTTATGGGGAGTGTTAAAATTAATCTATGTATTTCTATAAAATTTTATCTTCAACAGGAAATTTTTCTTGAGTTAAGAGCCTTAATGAATGTTATAATATAGATAATAGGTATATAAAAACCCAGTAAATACATCCCAAATAATATAAATTAATATATGTATAAAAATATTTCTTTATTTAATCTTATATTTTTTTTTGATATTTGTGACAGAAAAAAGGTTGCTTTGATGAGAGAGCTCTTGTATAGAGTCACTTACATCTTGAGAGCAATAAAAAAGTAATTTACCTTTATTTTAATATACCTAATTGCTATTCATTTCGTGGGGGTTAAAGAATTACAGTGGTTTTGTCTAAATCTGAAATATTGTGCATATTGTACAAATACGCCAATTTTAGGGTTCCATAGCTTAATATTTACAATCATTCCATAAAATAACTTGTTAAATAAATGCATGACAAAATTATACAATGAAAAAAAATAATCTTAAAAATGTATATTTCAACTCAGAATAGATTTCTAAACGGTCTTTATAACCAAAATTTGATTTGACTTTTTGATTTGATAATTTTTTTTTAATATTTTATACATCTTAGTATAATATTAATATATTCTACTAACATGTTCTTATAATATTAAATAGTACCTGTAGTATACTCGGTATTGCCTCGCACATTTAAAATGACACATAATTAGCTTAGCTATTATAGCTTTCTTAGGTCTGAATGCGATGAGATGATGGTATCTAAAGCCTACTCATTGAGCGAAACCAAACTTAGCTATGTTTTTAATTCAGAATTTTAAAATATAGAACAGCAAAAAAGTCCCATTAAAATCGAATATGTATAAAACAAATATCCCAAAATATTATATACATTTTCTTTAAAATATATAAACTTATTACAATTATTTTGTATATCTAACATTGGTTTTAACTTTCATATGTAGACTTGCTAAAATAAATAAATATGATTTATTTACAAGTTTTCCATTTAACACTGTAACATAAAAGTGTACAGTAGCCCTTATATTAGATAATATTTCTTTTATCCAAACATCTGCCCTATTATGCAGTGTTTATTCAATAATCGAGTGTGGATTACTTCCCCGTTGTTTCAGCGCGACTGACTGCTCGAGTGGCTCTCGAGATCCTCTCATTTAGTGTGCACATGTCGCTTTCTGTTAACTGTTTTAGTTTTAGTGGCACTACAAAAGAGTGCAATGTTGTAAAAAATATTTCTTTCGAAAATATTTTCATGGTTATATGTAATTTCTTATGTGGAATATACTCTTGTATTTGTAATTACTCTTGTAGTTTATTGGGATGAAAATTACACTATATCCGCTGTCCCGTTGTTAAAAACGAATTAAGATTTCATAAAATCGATAATACTACTAAGATTACTCTATAAATAAATATAAATATTTGTAAAGCAAGTTAACATTTTTCTTAAGACAACATTTCATTTAGATTGTCCTTAATAAAAACTATTTTTATTAGGTTTATTATTTATCTTCTATACATCTATTATTAGATTATTCCTTTTATGTCTAAACAAACAGATGCATGAAGGACTTCGTTGAGAGATACGAGTGCCTCTTCTAGTTTGCACAGTGCACATGTCATTTTCTTATATGTAGTTATTTTGTAAAGAAATTTTATAAGCCTTATATACCGCTCGGTCTTTTATTTTCGGCAATGCCAAAGCCTATTTAATAAACATTTTAAATTATGTCCGAAATAGATACTCCCTAGAGCAGGTCTCAGATTAGGGCCAATGAAATTTTGTTCAGTTCAACTCCTCTCTCTGGCTCTCCGTGTGTCTTGTTCTTGTATCATCTGTTCAATGGAGAGTGTTTTGATGAACTTTTTGGTCTGGATCCTCGGTCGTATCATCGCACCCTTCCACAGTATATTTATGTATATGTACATAGAAATACAAAAAAAATCATCCAAAAACCATTCATAAAATCTTTCATATAAACCTTGTCCTGACAATAATTTACGAAAACAACTAAAAGAAATAAGCCAAATCAGTCGAGCTATTTTAAATATACTCCGTCATACGTGTGGCGATTGATTTTTATATATATATTTGAGAAATATGACCATGTTGTATTTTAAATGATATTAGATTTTATTATATGTACATAACTATATAGATTTAGGGATTCATAAAATATTAGGTTCCCAAAATGTTATATATATATATATATATATATATATATATATACATATATATTCGTATTGTTCTATTGATTGTAAATTAAGCGAAATCATGAAAGCTTTTAATAATTGAGCTTACATCTATCAATTGAGTAGTAGGTAGGTACTAATCCTTTAACGAATAAGACGTGACACAAAAATAAAAATAATAATATTTTATTCTACAATAAAACGCAGTATATCGTAATATTCTTTTAATTAAAACTTAAAATTTGGTACAAAAAGTAGAAAACTTAAAATATTGACGCTCAGTATCGCTCTATGCGAAGAGACAATAGGTATGCACCCATGTTAAAACAACGAACGAATTATCACTAACAATAACATATAACAAAAACAAATCTTACAATTTATTTCTCAGACTAAGGGATAATATAGTTATAGAAGTCAAATAAAAATGTTTTAAAAAGTATATAGTATTTTAAAATATTACTGGAAAACTCATTTCTATGATAAGTAAATAAATGTTAATAAATATAAATAGTTTTTATTTAAAGAAAAAGCTAATATTATGATATCTCTCTTTCAAGAAGAAGAGAACAAATGCTTAAAAAAAAAGTATTTAAAGTTTTAAAATTTCCTATTAAAATTTTCTTTTCAAAGGTAGTAAATATATGACTGATATCTGTATAAAATTTCCCTTATTTTTTAAAGGAAGTAAACGATCTGTATGGCAAAATCGAGGGTAGTAGCATAAACAACAAATCACGCTACTATTTTTGACTTTACCTTTTTGCGGGCTCTATATAATTCGTTAGTCTGCGTATTACTTATAAATAAACAAAATTCGAGTAAAGATTAATATAAATTAGTTTTGGAACTTAAGTTTTTAATATAATTTGCATTTTGTTTCTAAAAGTTCATTTATACCAAGCCTGATACAATTTTAAAGACAATAACTGCTATGTATCGATTAATCGGTAGGCAAATATATTGTATGAAATATGATAGTAAATTCAGCTGTTAAAAAATATTCAAAATTTAAAAAAAATATTTTATAGAATAGACTAAAGAGAAAGACGATTTTAATATCTCATGGACAGTATTATATGATCTGTGGCATGGTGTAACTATTACAGCAATATATTAAACAAAAAATTCCCCGACGAATTGAGAACCTCCTCCTTTTTTTGAAGTCGGTTAAAAATAACAAGCCTTGTAAACGTGTATGCAATAATAGCATTAAAGCTAATGCTTACTATCTGTCTCGTAGACAAATATTTATTTTTGAATGTAATTATTGCATGCCATTTATTCCATACCATTATTGCTATACGGGTATCGTGAGAATGGGCTAAGGCCCATTCAGTGTAGTTACACTCAAAGTTTTGAGTTAGGTAATCGTTCAATTTTTTGTCAAACATGTGAATAAGCGTTCCATTGAAAGTTCTATTTTCTTGAAAATATAAACAAATTTTAATTACATTTAATAGCAAATTAAAAAAAAACATCTATACAAAAATCAAATATGAATATTTATTATAAAAAAAAACATAAACAACTAACTTTGATTAAATCTAACATTTTGTCATACCTCGCTCTCTTTCAAACGTAGTCAATTGCAGACAACAAATCATTATTATTGTTATTATAAATACATGTTTTAACATAATATAAAAAACATGGCATTGGATCAAAACTAATAACTATTATTAATGATTTTTTCAAAAAAAAATTATAACCAAGTACTTGCGATAAATTTCTTAAATTTGAGATGTCATATAATGCAACTACTTACCTGATCAATTTTATAAAAAAAAAATGTATATTTAAAATTAAAAAGTTTGTTTGGCAATTGAAAACAGATATCAGAAATCACAGATAAAAACGTGCTCAAAGTCTTAATGGAATACAACGTGGATATCTGGATCCTTATTAAAAAAAAATGGTTACAGGAATTAAGAAATCTATCACCAGTCTCCGGAAATACTACAATATAACAATGTTTTACCTAACTAATGTCTAAGTACATTTTGATAAAACTATGATATGTTATCTATTCGAGTTACCTCAAGAATTTACATTGCACTAGTGGGAATTGCACAGAACTATGTTACAAGTAGGCATATAGTATTTACACTTACAATACAAAATTAAAATATCGTAGGTTAAAAATAAAAGGAAGACGAAATAACAGCATTAGAATGATTTTTAACCACGTTTATATAGGAAATTCCTAATAATATTTACATTAATTTGGATATATTTCTAGCTTGAAACAAATATTTTTACAATTTATCGATAAATAAGATTAATTATTCGAAAAAAAAGAAAAATAAAATAAAAATTATAGTGACCACATTGCACTATCCGGCAAAATTTTTGCTTTTATAAGTCTGATTCTTCAAAAGGATTTTATTTTAGCGCTCACTTTGGTTCGTTCGTATGAAAAAGACACTCGTATATTTTAAAAACCGTAATAACAATAGTGAATGAAGGCTCATTACGCAGGTTTGTAAAACGTTACTGAAAAAATAATACTTGTCATCTAGTCTTTGTAACACCACTTATCACTCCGTCTATATACTATCAGGGGTGCTATCCCGTTCCGTGGACGTCGAGGGTCGCTCCCAATGCGGGTAAGGCCGCGCCGGGAGCGGGACCGGCCTTCATATGACGTGCTGAGGAGGCTCCTCATCACTTTTCATCAGGACGTATGCCACTGGACGTTTGACGTCTGGTGGAGGTGATGGAGACCGTCGTGGGGGACACCCACAAGGAGATAGTGCGCTGTTGTATAATGCTGAACTGTATAGCGCTCCCCCATATAGAGCCTGCGAAGAAAACAGGCTATGAATAAAAATACTGTCCTCTGCCTGCACTTGCCTACTGCTTTGCGCTTTAATAACAACTAACAGTCGATTTTACCGTGTGCGTCCCTAAGTAACGTTGGGAAATGCATTTACGCACGAAGTGTGGGACTCACCGGCGAAGCCAGTACTACCCACTAAAATCTTCCCCCGTCTTAATGGGGCGTCGCAGGATCGCTTACGCATTTAACTACGACGCCCCGACGGCAGGTCTGCCGAAGCAGACCACAGCAACCACGGGGTTGCTCCAAGGTCCACTCTGCTATCAGAGAAGTACCAGGAGCAACCCGCATGGTATACCGCCCTCCGAAGAGGGCCGCCTCCCACCGCCTACCGAAGCGGGCCACCTCCCTGTGCTTTTCTTGGCTTCGCGCCCAGGTGTATTGCCGGGCTCTACTGAGCCCCCCACCACGACAAGATGAACGCACGTTGGGGGGGCGTCCCCAAGTGCCTAGCATGAGCCTAAAATTTCATCCGCTTGAAGGAGTAATCTGTACTATACTTACCAATATTATAAAATGGTAGAGTTTATTTGTTTGTTTGTTTGAACGCGCTAATCTCAGGAACAACTCATCAGATTTGAAAAATTCTTTTTCCATTAGATAGCCCGTTTGTTAAGGAAGGTGATAAACTATATATCATCATGCTACTACTCATGTAGGCAGAGCAGTAATTATAAATGTCAACAAATCGGGCAGACTTCCATACATTAATGTAAACCTGATGTTTATAATACACAAACAATTATAACACGGGTGAAACCGTGGGGCACAACTAGTGACTAATAAACATACACACAAACATGCACAAATTTTCGCATTTATAACAGTTTAATTTCTGTTTATATATTTATTAGAAATAGACCATTTTTAACAAGACCACTGTGACAACCGTGATAAGTACACAGCATTCATATAACGACATGAGTAAGACAAAATATGTCTTTTTAAGTAATAATAATGTCACACTCTCTCTCTTTCTCCTCATCTAGTACAGATGTGTATGTATTTACATAAAATACGATTATGCACATAGATACGTAACAAAAATTAAACAAGTACCTGTAAATGCGCAAGTTCAGCAGCCAATTTCCCATCATCGGACGGAATCTTGAATGGATAAAACGGGTACGGTAGAGGTGGGAAGAGGGCTCTTCCCAAATCCGGTTTATCTTGTAACAGATGATGTGGTACCGGAAGCTGTGGTACCGGTTGCGGCAACGGTGTCACCAGCCTTGGTACCGGCGCCATTAGACCGGAAATGTTGAAGCTGAACTTAGGTTCCTTCTTGACTAGCGCTTTGGGTTTCCGTCGCGGACGGTATTTGTAGTCTGGATGTTCTTTCATGTGCAGCGCTCTGGATGAAAAGATTTATTTTGTAAATATTTCATCTAAAATTATCTAAGTTTTATTATATTTAAAAATTGCGTAATTGCTAGTAAAATTAGTAAAACGAGTAGTTAGCTACAAATGATTTGTTTAAGATGAGGTTTGGTTGGTATCTCATGTCAAGATTTTTTATAAATTTTTTTTATGCATAAGTTATCGTTTACAATTAAAAAATATTACACTTCTAATCTACCAGTGCTAAATTAATATGTATAATAAATCCAGATCCTATTAGTTTGTTTAAAATACTTTCATTCGCTTTATAATCGCATTCATGTATAAGTTTAGCAACAGCGCGCCACAATGAAACTTCACTGGGCAGAATAACATTATTATTTATGCAATAAAGCGTACAATTGTCGCGAACGCCCGCCGCCCTTAAAACAACAATGTCAATTCAACAATGCGCGGATTATTGCATTGTCCCCATCACAATCGATTGTTATTCCCACCCTGTATATATCACCGAAATCACTCAACCCATTTTAAACCTTAACGTACAGTATTATAGGTTAAATTTGTACATTTTTAGCGGTAGATAAGTCATTTAGTGATGTGCAACAGTCGACAGAGCGTCCGATTATGCCAGCTTTGTGATAGAATCGCGATTGTCAGCGAGTCGATTGTAATTATTCGAATGGACCAAGGGATGATAGTTCGTATGAGGTTTTTGAACGCTGTTTGCTGAACGAGCTTCCATATTAGTATAGGTTTGTACCGTGAAATTGGAGATAATCTACATATTTATAATAACTAGTTCATAATTGTGGTTTTATTCGTCTAAAAGTGGCATAACTTATTTTCTTTATATAAAATTCATTTTATTGAAAATATCAGTTACATGAAAATATTTAAATAAGTTTTCTTCGTTTTTAATCATTATTTTTCTTACTTTATATGTGGGATGTCTAAATTTAATAACATATTCTGACTGGCTGTCTATTGTAAAAGCCATGACCAAATCATTGAACTAAGCGACAGAAAGAGTATTCCAATTATGAAATAGACAATTATTTGTTAAAGAAGTGAAAAATGATTGCTAAGTTTATGTAAAAAATATTATATTTTAGGCAAATTTACTATTAACAAGCTTTTTTTAAATGATTTATTTTTTATACTTTTATATTTGGGTTGCTGATGTAACTAATTCAACTAGTATAGTATTATACGATCTGTGCTAATTCTAAGCCAAATAAATACATTAAACTCAGTGGCATTGGTAACGTGGTCGCTTGGCAAACCGAGTGAAGCTTTAAATCCCGGGCCACGCTCCTCTGACATTTACAGGTGCGAATCATTTCTAACATGATTACCATTTGCCTTACGCTGAAGGAGACCATGTCTTAAGGAACCTAGCAAGTTTTCAAAAAACATGCGAAGTCTACCAACTCGCACTTGGCCAGCCTGGTGCTCTATAGCCTGATCGCTCTCGTATTTATGGGAGGCCCGTGCCCAGCAGTGGCACGTTAAAAAAGACTGAATATACCATAAAACTAAATATTATTAACAGGAATAAACGAGTTATTATTCAGAAAATCTCTATCGGATATTAAGTTCATTCACAAATACTTACATATTTGTTCAATAAAAAATATTTTTGAGCTTAACAAAAATCGGGGTCGACGACCGTACACTATCAATTCCTTCATTACTGTTTGTGGACAAATAAAGAAGATAACAAAAACAGAGTATTGAGAAAAAAACTATCTTCTTATCAATGTTTCGATGTAAGAATATTTTTGTATTGAAAAAATAATTATGTTTTTACCTTTGCTTCGTTTTGGTGCGTCTCTAGGTGCATTTTGACCCTTTTGCTAGCGGTCGCGGGTTCGAGTCCCGCTGGGGGCATTCATTTGTTTGATGAGCACGAATGTTTGTACTTCAATCATGGATGTTTATATTTATAATATGTATATATTTAAAGTTATATATGTGTAGCATATCAACTATCTGGTATCCATAATACAAGCCTCGTAGCTTACCATGGAAGTAGATGGTGTCATAACAATGTCTTCAAACTTTTCCTTAATTTCTATAAATATTACTTATACAAGATATAAAACTTCCGGAAGAAATTGTTTACATGCTATTAAAAACCGTATCGAAATTAGTGGCGTAGATTAAAAAAATTAAGCGTACATATTTATGCGAATAGTAATTTTATTACTGATGATAATTTGTAAATTATGACGTGACCTGATATATACATATATCAGTGAATTACACCTCGTGTTTTTGTTCATATTCTATGGGAAACACGGGAATCAAAACAACCAATATAACGATATTGATAAACTATATGTAAAATAAATTATATCTATTACCAGGTAGGTACATGAAAAAGATATAACATTAAAGATTATGTTAAGTTTGTTAAATAGCGGATATCACACAAATACATATATAAAAAAAAGAGAAAGTGTGTTTTTGTTTGTTTGTTTGTTTGTTTGTTTGTTTGTTTGTTTGTTTGTTTGTTTGTTTGTTTGTTTGTTTGTTTGTTTGTTTGTTTGTTTGTTTGTCTGTCCTTCTTTCAATCAATCAAATCAATCAAGATCATTATCATGAACTGAACAATGAAATGAATGAATCAATAAAATGAATCACAATATTTTAGAGGTTTTTTTTGTAGTTTTATCTCGAGCGAAGCCGCGGGTTCTGCTAGTTTATATATGTATAAATGCGAAAGTTCGTGTGTGTGTGTGTTTGTTACGTACTTCTAATGAAACTACTGATCTAATTCTGAAAATTAAATAACAAAGAGCTACATTATTGTCGAGTGTGAAATGTGTTTAGTGTCAGATAGGTATATATCATAACTTTGATTGAAGTCCGAAAAATCTGGTTTAGATTTAGTTGCATTTTCAGTGTTCGCTGACTTACTGGTTTGAAACTAAGCACTAAAATGTATGGCAAAAGACAGGTGAAGAGAACGGGTGAAGGGTGTCTTAAAGGTTGAGGTATAGTTTATTTATAAGGCGTTGTGTATCTATACTAATCCATACTAATATTACAAAAGTAAAAGTTTGTGAGGATAGATGGATGGATAGATGGATGTTTTGCTATTCTTTCACGCCAGAACGGCTAAACGGATCTGGATGAAATTTGTCAAAGAAATAGATAATAATCTCAAATAGCACATAGATTACTTTTTTTATATTTTTTCCCGGAAAAATGTACGGTTCCCGTGGGATAGAGTTGTTTTTGTCTGGAGACAAACTAGAAGCGAAGCGAGGCATAGTCGCTAGTTAAATAATATATAGTTTTTCTCTTATAAAGAAAATAAAATAATATTTACAAATTATTAATGAATATAGATGCATAATATTAAAAAAATTATATTATAATAAATAATACAATAAACCTTTTAGAATTTAATTGATAATAATATATAACAAAACTAAAAAAATATTCGAAAAATCATCCCCATTTTATCTTAAATCGAACAAACTTTGTTTTGTTTCATTTGCAACCCAAAGTATAACTGAAGAAAATCGGTACATTATCATTTTTTGGATCAACAGTCTTAATCGACTTAAGTAAACTACACGATATGAAAGGTCTGTTTGTCGATATTGTTGGTACATATTGGTTTTATTGGAGGTTTTTTAAAGGTGAATTGTATTTGATTTATATTTGAAGGCAATGTACGTCGATCGTTACGCGTCCGGTCTAAGTTTTAATCGTCATAAGAGGAACAGTGGGAGGTTTTTGTAAAATTTCAGTCATATTTTTTATAAAAGCGAAGAAAAATATCCATTGCTAAAGATGAAATATATAATTAAAGTTATTTCAGATAGAGATTGTTCTTGTAAATTAAAAAACATCCTGTAAGATGGTTTTTTTTTAAGCTAAAAATCTTTATACCATATTCTTTATTACTTTAATTTTAATTAATCAAGTAGATCTAAAGTGAGCTTAGCTTGAGTTCTTTGCACTTTTACTCGTAAGGTGGACTTTGTTGTGAACTAAATATAAACATACGCGGATGGTATCACAGGTAGGTCAATATAATCGGCGCGAGATAATAATATGTAACCTCTGCAGTAAGAGTCTGTGTTGATTAGACACAATCTTTAATGTTATAAGTAATTGATTCCCCATACAAATTTATCCCAATTTCGACCCCTTGAAGGATGTTTTCTGGAATTAAAACTATCTTATGTCCATCGCAGGGTCTCAAACTATCGTCTTACCATATTTCATCTAAATTGTTTCAGTAGTTTCTGAGCTTATTCAGTACAAACAAACAAACAAACAAACAAACAAACAAAAAATCTTTTCTCTTTATAAATTAGTATAGATTAGCGGGCATGTTTTAAATTCTTTTGGGAAAATTGTATAACTTCATTTTCACAGCAAAACATATCTGAATATAATTTAAGTTTTATACATATCTATCTATATAACTTAGATACATATAATAAAATTGTAACTGAGCCGAATCTGTACATTTAATATTTTTTGAAAAATCTTATTGAAATAAACATTATTATCGAGAATAGAATTTTTGTCTGTTTGTCTGTTACCACATCACAGAAAAACCACTGGAGGGATTTTGATGAAATTTCGTATGGTGATAGCTGGTTATCCGGGTCAACATATAGGATGCTTTTTACTGCGGGAAAATATCTCATTTCTGAGAAAAATGCAAAAACTGCAATGTAAGAGTATACTTATCTGTAATATCTAAGAATTTGGTTTTTTGATATCTGAACGCGGGTGAAGCCGCGGGCAATGCTATTTAAATAAAGAATTTCATTCTTACACCGCAGTAGCTATATATACAAACCCAACTTCACGCTATATCTTTGTAAGGTGGGCAGAGAGAACTGTGTGCCAAGCGCTACCACATAAACTTTATAGCCCAAAATTTTAATTTCAATATAGGTACATATGATTAAAATATAAATATTAAATTTAAAATTTCATACCTACATATATAGATAGAAAAAGAGATACGAATCCAAA